AGAAGAGTTAAAATTGGCGAATCTAAAGCTAGTTTATCCCGCGAGTATGGGATTCCAGAAAGAAAATCGCGTTCGTTTGTAGATTCCATTGAAAACGACATCGGTTTACAAAGGAAGAAGACTAGACTTTGTGAAAAAATGGATTGAGGTAGATGAGGAAATTCTGGTTGCACAGCATCTTAGTGAAGAGGATATCGCAGTGTCTGTGAAAAATGGGAAAACAACTGACGAACTTGGAGCCAGTGACTCATAAAACTATGGTGATGATTCCTGTGAAGCATTGATACCAGAATTGAGCAAAGTGCTAGAGAATATTAATGAAGTGATGGCATGGTTAGAACGACAGACTGATAGTGAATATCTTCATTTGCTGTATCTGGTTAATATTAAGCAATATGTTCTGAAAAGACGCAGTCATCAGTTCCAACAGACTACATTACGTGACTATTTTCGTAAGGAGGCATAAATGTTAAGCTGCCAAGTTGTTGTATAAAAGAACACGTAATTCGTTAGATGTTGGGAAATAGAGCGTCAGAATGGTCATTGCCTTATGCTCCTGGCGTGGATTCTTGTAAAGTGTTAATTTGTGTAGCATTCGTGAGAGGCTAGTCAAGAAGTTCTACAAAATATGTAATTGATTTATTCAGTGACGCACTTTGACGGCTGAGAGACGTTCGGGTCGTCATAAAATTACTTTGGGAGCTGTGATTAGTCATTGGATGCGAGCCTAAAAATATGTTACTTGTTGACGATAGATGAAGCATGCATATAAGGAAGGCTTCATAATAAATTCCAGTATTTATTTTAAAACATTGAATATTACTGATTGGAAACAGAATAAAATATTATGCCGGTTAATTACACAAAGTAAAAATTTGTGCATTGTTAACCAGAACGGTAAATGGATTTACAGAGCTGAGTTGTAACCGAATCCAGAAGTTTCATGAGTGTTCGATTTTGTTTTTTGAAATTTTCACTGAATGATGCTAGTTTTATTTACAGACTTTCTGTAATTTATATGTACGCGTGCTTTATGGTGCGAGCCAGCAGAGTAACTCGATAAATAAGATTTACAGACCGGCATCGTCGGTTCATGTCAACAAGATCTCAAGGTCAGGGCATGTTCGATAAGTGTTCACGTGATTTATGCCCTTCTGATATCAGCTCGAGCCCCTGTGGACGAGTCGAGCCTCCAGCTCTGAAACAACCGTTTCCGTTTCCAAGGAACAAGTTATGGCCATTAAAGCCTAGTGGACACGATACGTTCCACCTGCTTAAACAATCATTAAATCTGCATTTCATATTCATATGTTTCTAGTGTAACCCGGGATTAAATCCTCCAATAGTGATCCTTCTAAGTGTGAAGTGTTGTTCTCTCTTTGTGGTATGGACTGAATTATTAAATAAAATTTAAGCGAATCTCGACCTTACAAGGTTAATGTATCGTATTTGCACGCAGGCTAACGAGCTTTGGGATTTAACCTTTTATATCGATGGCATCGTGACAGAAGGGCGTATCAACAAAACCTCTTATTTACAGGAGACTAATTATTACGCTTACTTTATTTGACAAATATGCATTATTAGCGTTCATACGCCAGAATGTAACTGTCTGTATCTCTGTGCAGAGCTGCATCAGCATTAGGCCCTTCTGGCAAGACAAACCTTCCAATATTTTGTGTTGTCAGACCAAGTGACTCCGATTATGCAAATATGTCAACAGGCTAAGATGTCTGTCTTCTGGGTTGTAGCGCCGTGCAGTCTGATAGAAATTGGCCAACGGTTCAGAAGTTCTTGCTGCCTCCATCATCAGGGCGAGGGACCTTAGAAACGTTGGTAAACTTCTACCAGACTACACGGCGTTGTAAACCAGAATACAATCATCTTCGTACTAACTGCTGCGAGAACCTCAAACCCTACGTATTAATACGCCGTCCTGGCATGATGTTATCGATATGTTGGTTTTTATTATAGAATCCTTCTGTTACTCTGCTTTCACTGTAACGTAGACGCGTTGCTGAAAAACCACAAATGGGTGGTTTCATTTATTCAAAAATACTGGAATGAGACTGTGGCCTGAAACCTGTCTTTGTGTAAGAGACATATCTTGTATGACAGAGAAAGGGCTACATTAGGATTTTTACTTGAACGGTAGAACAGAAGTTTCTGAGCCATTACAAGGTAAATTATCCTTTCCATTCATGTAGCGTAATCCGGTCATGAAAGCTAGTCGGCTTTGGCTCTCAGAGGCTTGTTACGCCACGGATTTATTTATTTTAGTCATCTTGAATGGGTTAAAACTATGAATGAAAGTCATGTACTGTCAAAATTAAATTTACATAAAGTTAATTAGTTTAAAATGTTCTGAGTAACTGAGGATACAGTGAAAGACGTCTCTTCGGTTTATCGGTTAACTTCTTCAGTGTTGTCCGCATTTGTCCCTCTCTGTTTTCGCATGCCCCTTCATTTATCTTTTATAACAATTTAGAGTCAGATGTATAAATTAGACTTCTGCGCGGAACGAAATTTTATAATTTCTACCGGCCCGAGGAACATTAGCCCAAACTCGAAGTTTGTCTACGAATATGTCACCCGTACACCACTTAAGCCAGACTTTATTTTATTCCAGCCGGAATGAAGTTCGATCTATTTGCAATCTCTTAAAAACTAAACTCTTTCGTCTTGTGTCAAATGCTATTTTTATTTGTGAGGTTTTTTCAATTGGTGCCTTATTGTATTTTTCTCGCAATTTAATAATGTTATAAATTCAGCTGATATTTACCCTCGTCTTTTTCATTAGTCTTCCGTATTATCCAACATTTTTCATTATCCGACCGTTTTACTGTCCCGTTTAGATAAGATAATCGGGACTCTACTTTATTTTTCTGTTTGATGTAGGTCGTATCTTGTTACAATGAAGCCTCAGTGCTGCTGTCTATAGGTAGCTAATAAGCTTTGTCGCAGGGTAAGCGGCCATGCTTTCGGAAAAGGGAAACCCCAGAAGTACGCTGACAAGGACATACTGATATTTACTTATGAAGGGACAGCCAACAGTGTTTCCGCTTAGGCGGCCTCGCTGCTAGCGTTGTATCCAACTAGACAGATTTGGTCAGCAACTTGTCACTGCATGTGAAGTAACAATGGGTAAGACTACTTACGAATAGTACTACTTATTACTTACTTACGCAGAAATTCTGCCGCTAACCCTACCACATATTCCTTAATATAATAGCCTTTCTATTTGTTAACCATCATGGTAAATGACTCGTGTGCATGAGAACGGAGATTTCTTGGCTGTATTTCGTTACGTGGATTCCATTTCATACATACAAGAATCCGTATAGTGCCTGGCTACGGACTTATCGACCGGGGTTCGTACCCAACTGGAGCAGAGGATTTTTCCTCTAGCCTCTGCGTCCACACCGGTTCTGGGGCCCACCCAGCCTCCTATCGAATAGGTACCGGGGTCCTATCCCGGGGTAAAGCGCGGTCGGGGCGTGATGCTGACCACTCACCCCCATCTAGGGCCGAGGTCAAGAATGAGTAGGAGCTATACCTTCTTTCCCCCGAAGCGCCTACATGGCGTATAGTTGGGCAGCTTTACTTTTACACACAAGAACCCGTGTAACAAATTCTGTGGGATGGAGTCCTTCTTGAGAAGATGATAGCTGCTTAGATAGTAAGAACTACCTGCCTCTCCTAAAACCCGAAGGTTTATTACTGCATTAGCATAAGCCGACCACCGGTCCCTACCCTGAGCCATATCATTTCAGTCGACACCTTCCTGCTGCTCTGTATCATGAAGTTCTATTTAAAAATTATCCTCCCTTATACGAGGTGCGATCGGAAAGTTTCAAGACTGCGCCTATAAAAACCCGTACACTTATCTCAGGTATTAAATTCATCCATCACCCTCGAAGTAGTTCCCC